AAAGTTCATGCATAGTGAAGCATGAATCCCAAAGCCTTGGAGGTTGAGTTAAACTCTTAATGAGATCTATACTCTATGTGGAGTGAAGTACTTTACTTTGGGGGTACTTCTGATAGACTCACCTATGTGAATGTGGGAGTGAGGCCGCTCCCTATGGAACTTTGGAGGCACAAAGTTGCTAGAGCGTTCACTAAACCGGGATAACGTACATGGCCATAAACGCACGGCCTATGAGAGAATATCACTCAATGAAAAGATCCGGTGTGCTACATTGTCTGAGATAGGGTTCAAGACTACGAGTCACCCTTATGAAATCGGAAGTGTAACCACTAGGCTAAGGTTCAAATCTTCGCGATACCTTAGCTTATGCCCGATCTTATGGAACTGTTGATGCTCAAGATAGTTTCAAAACTATTCAAGTGGGGGATTGTTGGGATGAATAGCTTTGAAAAGCTATAAATGAAATTCCTAATTAATTATCCAGTATTTTCCCATAATACATAAATAAGATGGATAATTAATAAAAGGAATATTATGGAGATAATTAGGAATAATTATCTTAATAGATTATATTTTAATTATAGGAGTAATTATCTCCCTAATTAAAATATGACTATTCCCAAAGAAAGAGGGAATATTCTAGGTTTTCTGCTCCTATAAATAGGAGACGCCCCAGACCCTCTAAACACACCTCAGAGAGCAGAAACATGAGAGAGAGTGAGATTCAAAGAGCTCCGGTTTTCTGCACAAAACCGCTGAGCAAATCAAAAGAGTGGTTGTTTTATCCTGGAGGCGACCGGCTGATAGTCTGCTGTGCGAATAACGAGGCAGTGCCGCGAACTTCTTAAAGAGAGCGACCTAGTCCGCGACTCAGCCAGATCGGTAACTAATTTTTCCTGTTCGATTTATAACACCTAATTGCTCAACGATTAGCTTAGAACCCTAATCATCAATTCCATATCACCTACATATGTTCAATTCTCATCTCATTCAATCTAAACCTCTTTTTATATTATCAATACCCAGTATAGAACGCATAGTTCAGGACACCTGATTTTTGTGTTCGGTTGGTTCATAATCGGAGTTTTGGATAGGGCCTTGAGAAACAACTTGTATTTATGCATATGGTTATGGATATGTTTAGACCTGATAGGTCTGGACCATTTCATTCCCCCAATGGCGATTCTTTAGATTAAACATCGGAAGGCGAAGTTAATCAAATTGTAGTTAGGGATGGTAATTTTATCCAAACTCATAGATATTTCTCTATCCAATCTAAGTAGTTGGTTATAAAATCCAAATACAAGGTAAATAGTTAGAGTTTGATGGGTTTATACAGATATCAATTTATTTGGGTTTGTTTGGGTTTTTAGTTCATGGATATGAGTTTGTATTCATTCTCATATGCAAATTACAATTTGATACCTAAACTTAATACACCTTTAAATGTAGTACCTAAATTATTTTTTTCATATAAGTCCTAAAAATATCAATGAAAAATAATATTTTAGTACTTAAATTTTTGTGTCTTACATTTTCATACTTATCTTTTTAAATTTTACAAATAGGTCCAATGTTGTATTTTAAGTTAAAACATCCTCTAGTAAATAATTATTCATACCCAAACCTTGCCCATTTAAAGTATGGAAGCAATACCCACACCCTATCCAAACCATGGTTCAGGAAACCGTACCGGACATCATACCGGATTTCTTTCTGGTAGGGTATTTTGTGGTACGACCGTGGTTCAGTCGTTTCATACCGGTAAATACCGTTTTTGTAATAATAATATTTATTTTTTGTAAAAAAACCGTGCCGGCAAAATAAAGCTACCGTTTCGGAGTAATACCGGACTATACCAAAAATACCGAAGAATAAATACTAAATACTCATATAATGGATTGAAGTGGGGGCTAGCTAGGTAGGGGCTGCAAACGGAGAGTGTTATGTCGTATATATAATTTAAAATCTTATAGGAAGAAGAGGGATGGTAAAAAGTAAAAAAAAAAAAAAAACACATAGATTGTGTTTTTATGGCTATGGGCTATGGCAAATGGGGAGAGGAGACCCAAGCCATTAGGCTAATGGACTTCCTTAAGAAAAAGCCCATGAACACCTAGACCTAGAGAAACCCTAGGTGCGCTCCCCTCCCTTTCACTCTGCCGTCTACACTTCTCTTGTCTCTCCCTTCTCTCGTCTCATTCTCAATACTAAAATTGAACCAAGATTTCCACAAAAATGAAAAAAAAAAGTAGAAAATCCCAAATCTCATCCTTCTTTCCTCTGGTGGCGGGGATAACATGGAGCTCTTTCCTCTCTTTCTTCTTTCAACAATCGCTTCTTCCTCTTCATTCTTCTTCCGCGTCCGAGCAGCCGGCCAGATGATGGTGGGTCGGTGATGGGATGGCCTGGCAAGCACGATGGCCAGGCGCAGGGATGTGGCTGAGGACGGGGTTAGGCGGTGGACATGGAGCAGCGGCCGCGGTGCGGAGGCGGCGACGAGGCCCAGCTAGTTGGTGATGTTTAGTTGCAAACAGCCAACCGCCGGCAGGTTCAAAACCGGCCGGTATTTCGCGCCAGCCCGGTTCGAATTTAAAAACCGACCGATACGATATCTTTGCTATTAAACTCCTATAGTTTCGTTTTTGGTCCGGTTATCGGTTTTTCTGGTCGAACCGGCCGGCACGATCCAGTTTCCTGTTCCATGATCCAAACCCATCTACAAAATCTATATAAACTTTACCGGCCCTAGAGAATTTTAATCAAGGTTAAAAAAGGAGCTAGGCACAAGGCGGGCGTTGAGCCTTTGCCTAGCTCCTAGATCGCATAGGCGTAGACTAAGCGTGCCTAGGTGTTGGGAGAAAAATAGCAATTCGCACTCAATGATGAATGAAATAATAATCCACAACACTTCCTCACTCTAGTCAAAATGATTAATAACTTACTCAACACTTAATAGCATGAATGTAGCTCGCGAATTCATAGAATCATAGCTCAATAGCTCACAAAGTTCTTGATCAATTGAAAATATTGATATGAAAAATTAATGTCGTAGTTGATGTTAATTTTCTCTTTTAATATTGACTTCTTAGATCCACCAAGTAATATTTAGGAGAGATTTATATGTCGCCTTACTCTATTGATGTGTTCTACAGTATCTAATTAGGCGCGAAACCTCTAGGTGAGGCATTTTGCCATTGCCTTGCACCTAGGCGTGCCTAAGTGTAAGGTTAAGCGTGACTTTTTGAACCATGATAATAACACACCTTTTGTGGACCATTTCGTTTTTCAACTCTTGATGTACCGGTTCACTGATAATTGCAAGGAAACCAACCTATCGTTTTATCCGGGGAGAGGCAGATGTTCAACGACTTCATCTGAAGACAAATGTGTTGATGTCAGCTCGGCAAGACAGTGAATCGTGTCGTCTCAAACAGTCATATTGTGCAAAGAAGGAAAGGGAGAAAAAACTGGAATCTGAAGGAATCAGGGGAGATAACCAGGCCGTGGGAATCAAGAGGCAAGTCTTCGCTGCAGTCAACAAGAGAATCAAGTATAAAAGGACTGCATCTCTGGATTAGAAGACACAACTTTTCTGCAAGGGAAAATCAATACAGCAAAGGGGTTTTGTGTGTGATTTTTGAATGAGAAAAGTAGGTTAAAGACAGAGAGAGATTTCTAGGGTTGAGATTGATCTGTCTAAAGAAGTTTATTAGCTGGGTAGCTAATAGGTGAGTGAATAGAGAAAAAGGTCTCAATCGAGTGGATAGCTGATTGAGGGGGAGCTTATCAAAGTTTGTATTTGACAGTGTGCTGTAAAATCATCATCTTTAGTGACAACATCAGAGATTGCGGGATCGCAATTCTCTGATCGTGGAATAGTCGGTGAAGGGTACCATTTGACCTCTCACCGGAAACCACGTACAAATTCGGCTATGGGATTAGGTGCTAATCCTTATAGGGGTTAGCACCGTAATAACTAGCAAAAAACGCTACTAAAAATAACGAAATCACTATAGATTATTATAAAATCAATACAACATCTAAGCTAAATCACTACTAATTCAAACACTAGTAGTAGTTTTTCCCTTGATTAGGACGGTGCTAACTATTGTACAATTAACACCGTAGCCGTTCCCAAAAATTCGGGTGTAGTCCACCATTGCTTTTGAATTCTGGGTTTGTGGCTGAGTCTGAGTCTGTGTTCTTGGGCAAGCTGAAGAACACGAAACAGGGAACTCTGTTTGATCCTTATTCATCACAAGTGTAGGAGAAAGTTAACATTGGTAATACTGTGTCGTTTAGACGTAACCTGAAGGAGTTTAATCAGATCGTAGGTCAAAAGACGAGCCAAGCTCATTGGGCTTCAAGCCCATTTCATGTCTCCTTAGCCCAAGTCTAGAAACAAATTGGTTGGTGGCATTGCGCACACCATCATCGATCAAAATCCTCATTTCATTCTATTAGGGTTGCTCGTGTTCTCCAGATTTCCAGGAACAAAATCCAAGAAGAACCCATTATCAATCACATCAAATCCGGAAAAATTAGGGGAAACGTCGCGCGTTCGACTTACCATCAAAATGCCGAGGATTCACATTTCTGTTAACATTGCTCCGTTAAGGATATCATACTTCTTCCAATAAGTATACATCATACACTACACTTTGCAGAGGCTAGGAGGCATAATATTCACACAAGAAAGGGCCGCAAGCCGCAAAAAAACATGCATACTTATTTCCAGGAATGGTACAACACATTGATTCTCTACATCAGCGTATCAGCAAAATCAGCCTCGTCTCGTCTCCACACATCCCCTCTTTATCTTACATTCCCTGTCAACAGCCGCATACTTGTCGCATGTTGCTCTGCGTGTCAGCTTTACAAGTGCTACAATCCTCTCTCTCTCTCTCTTCGTGTTGTTTCTACAGGACAGGAGGATGCACATGGGACAGTATGGTTAGGAACATTTGGTGCGGCTCCATAGAAGAGCAGGCTGGATCCTAGAAGAACTCTTCTGAATCGAAATCTGGCCTTGACGGGTATTCCAGCCCTTGAAGTGCAGGCATTCGTCTTAAATCCTCATCTGAGTAAGCTGGAATGAACCAGTACCATTTATCCGTGCCAAGAACCTGAAGCATTGTGCAATAAGCTAGATTATATTTGAGGGTTCAACATAACCACCAATTTTGAACAAGCCTAACAATCAAGAGACCACCAGGCAGGCAGGCTACCTCCTCAGACTTAAAACAAAAAGAAGGCAGATAACAAAATTTGATGGGAAATGACTAACCTGTTCGAAGTTCCTCCTTCGTCCCAGATCATAACGCCATTTTGGTGTGGTTTTTTTCTCGTACGCCTGATCAAGACAATATATAGTAATAACTAGATGATAAAAATCAACAAATGTTTCCAGCAGGGATTAAAATACCGTACCGGCGGTTCGATCTGAAAAACCTTCTACCGGAAGCAAAACCGGTAGGCGGTATAATACGGTTGAACCATGGTTAAACCACGATTTTAGCATAAAATACCTTACCGCTGACTTTTCCGGTACGACCTCTAGTACAGTATTTCAATCCTTGGTTTCCAGGCAAAGACCATAGCAATCACAACATAGGCCTTCTTTCGTAGACAATCAAGAATGCATATTTGATTCATCATAAATTGCAAAGACCACCAAGCAACCAGATTAAACAAAAGTGGATACGCACCAACTTTTTCTTTGGTGAAAAAACATAACAGTCTGTCTATGTCCACGGACTCAATATTCAAGCTTGCAGGTAGACAAATATCTCAGCGTTACAATTTCAGATACATAAGGAAACAGCACAAAAAGAAGAAGGGATTTTTTTTTTTTACCTCAATCGTCGTGGTATTAGTGGCCACCAATGATATATGCATGATTAGGAATCCCAGCACGCTTAGTGCAAAAGCCAGATTCAGGACTGCCACGAGAGAGATTTCATAATTTAACATATAACTCACAGTTGCACATGGTTGGAAAAAAAGGCCTAGTAAATCTTACCAAAAGCGAGAAATGTGGTCGCCAGAGTGCCTGGTGTGCCAGGGATTTCTCCATCACCGAAGAATGCAATAAAATGTGGTAGTAAAGACACAGTCACTAGGCTTGTCTCCAGAAATGTGTAGAACTACAAAGTTCAGAGAATAATAAGTTAAGAAAATTAGTTGTTTGAAATATGAAACCACAGCCCAAAAAAGAGACTGGACGCCGCACCGCCTATAAAGTACAGCCTCAGACAAAACTGTAAAGACACCTCTAGATGAGTAGCGTATCATCACCACCCAATCCATCCGACCCTGTTTCCACGGTATAGCTTCTATGCATCTTATGTGGCGAACATTTGAAGTTTATACACTGGGGTACTAGCTGAAAGTCTGTCGTAATATTACCACACAGGATTTCTGACTCATAATGTACCAAGCACAATACAACTTACAGTCCATCAAATTTCCAAAAAACTGAACCTCCTTTCAATTGGTACGTTTAAGCCATTCAATAAAGAGAATGAAAAAGATAATATGCCCCCAGTATGAGTATTAAACAATACTATTAATACCCAAAAACGTGAACCTGCAATGTGATAGGCAGCTTAATCCTAAACTAAACTGACACATGACATCAGAAAATAGATCGAGTCCCGTTCCCAAAACAATTTAATTAAGCTCCTATCCCAGCATAAAACAGCACTGATGCCATGAATTTGTTCACGTACGACCACTTAACTAATTTTAGGCAAATAATATTGTTTATGATCAAACATAAACATTTAGTTAAAAATAAATCCCCTAATCAAGGGTTCCTTAGAATTCCACGGGAACAAGGAATAATTGGTGATCCTAGCCTATATAAAGAACAATGCAATAGCGAAAAATTAACCAAAAATAAAATAAAATAAAAACTCACCAAAAACAAAAGGAAGTACTTGTAATTTAATGCACCAACACAATTTACAACCCAAACACAGTGATGATCCATCTTCAAAATACACCTTCCACCTAATAAGGGAAAATGAAAAACAAGTATCAACTGTGAGTATGATTAGAAAAGATCAATAAAATCAGTCATAATCGGTTGATCTTCCACTCACAAACAGAACAATGGTGGCAACGAGGCGGTTTGAGCTGGTTGCACTTCCTGCAGTACCGTACTCTAGGCTTAGCTAGGTCCGTCTGCACACTATTAAACTCTTGACCATTCAATGAATCAGCTTCTCCTCTTTCCTCGTCAGCAGAAGGCCTCCAAGTCGGAGGTACACTACCGGGATCAGTTAACACAACGGAAAAGTAGCTCCACAGGAGCATGATCAGCTGCCAAGAACATCAACCCAAGTTTCAGTTTCATGGATAAGCTGTTCAGTACACTGCCTACCTCCTGGCTCTAAGAAACCATCATTCCTATCTTTCTCTACTCCTGCAAGCTTCCATTTATTGTCTGAAGCTATCTCACTTTCATTAGACCAACAGGATACGTAAACCCATCCTGCAGCCTATTTTAATCGGAGCACAAACAGCGGACGACTTCAGCATTAACTACAATAATATATTCAGGAGCTTATCATCTATAGGAAATTCTGATCCTAGCATATTTTAAGTACCTATAACTCCACTAAATCCATCTGAAGCATATGTAATTTGTTTGGACTAAGCTAAAGAAAGAGGAACAAGGTGCGAGTCTGATCGAAGATCTTACCAAGCAATGGAATGGGACCAAGACAAGGAGAGCATTAAAGGAGTCGACGCCACCATCGTACAAAGCCGGCCCGTAATTGGTTAAAACGACAGCGTAATAAGTGACACCGACAACACCTAGAACCAACAAGATCATGATTGAACCCAGACCTCGCAGGGCAGTACAGAATTTGAAAACATTCCAAGCCATGGCAGCTCCAGATCTATGCATAGTCGGCATAGAACTCCGAATAACCAAAGGCCCAAATGCAAAATGAGCTGGAGCAGGAAAAAAGTTCTCCTTTCAGAAAATCGGCCGAGTCTGGAAGCAACGAACAGAAATTGGGAGCCCGCTCCTTGTTCTTCTCTGATTCCGGGATTTAATGAATCTAGGGTTTATGAAATTTGGGATTCTTCCAGGTGGGCTACGGAATCCATTATAGAGGTTGGGAGAGAAAGAGAGAAACAGGAGACGCCGAAGTGTTTTCTTCTTAGGACTTAGGAGTAGTATTAGACTATTAGTCGGTAATGCTAATTTGGAGACCTTCGCCTCCAAATTTCGGAATTATTATTTTAATGTTATCATTTTTAAATTTGGATATTCTATTTTCTTGTAGTTTTTCTTTCCGAAACTCTATTCGTCGTCCTGAAATTCAAATTTTATCGCCCTTAATGCTACATATTGACATCTTTACCCTCAACCCAATCTCAATTCTAAATCCTAACTAGAAAATTGAAGAAGAAGGCCCGACTCTGCTCCGCCGCCTCTGCAAGTTGGCCTCCCTTGCTCAGTCATTTCCCATCCTCACCCCCAACCCGAGCAGCTCGTCGCCGACAAAAGAAAGAAGACGCCACTGCTGATTGCCATATTTTTTCATTTTTTGTTGTTGTTGGCAGCGACGGAGGGTGGAACCCTGCGAACTCAGGACCACGTTCCCCCGCTTTCATAGAAGTCAGACTCCTTCTCTAAACCACCAAGCTTCAATCAAAACCTTTGAACGACGTTCCCCTTTGACTAGAATCCCTGCATACGAGAAAGAACTCTCAGCTCCTTTCATTTTCTCGAAAACCTTTAAGTCAATTGCCGGTCGTAGGTCAGTGTATGAGGGAATGGGGCACGTTACAACACCTGCCTTTTAGCGTTGGGCGCCGGGAAACACTCCTTCAGCTTTGGAATCTGGTGTTCCTCCCTCTCCGAAGTCGAAAAACCTGTTGGCACTTTAGCAGCCGGGGTCGCCGATAGGTTCGGGTCCGAGGGACACTTAGTCGGCTAGGGAAACCGATACTTCAGAGTGGAAAAATCAATTGGGTCAGCAGTCAGAATCTGGTACTTGTCGATGTGTCGATCGGAACTAGCCGGTGATATTGATCTGGCATCTCATTTTCATTTTTACTAATTCTTTGTAAGTTCTCGTTGTAATTGTGCTGGCATCCTCACTGAGAGACCAAATGAAGCCCTAGCTGGGGTGAATGCAATTCAAGTGGGGAGTGTGAAGGTGACTCCGGGAGTCATCACTAAAGAAGTGATTGAGAATGAAGATGCCAACCCGAAGGATTGAGAGAGGAAGGCATCGTCGACACCACCCCCGGGGGTTGAGTACACGCCGCCTCTTCCTTACCCCGCAAGGATGTACAAGGAGAGGTTAGAGAACGAGTATGGAGGTTTCATGGAAATGCTCCGGAACCTCCACCTCAATGTCCCTTTCCTTGAAGCCATGGCTCAAATGCCAAGTATCTCAAAGGATTCCTCGCCAAGAAGCCAAAGCTTGAAGGCCTCGCCAACGTGACTCTTTGGCGAGGAGTGTTCGGCTTTCCTCCTCAACCGCTTGCTCAAAAAGCGGTCCGACCCAGGTAGCTTTACTATCCCTCTTGGTATTGGTAACCATCATATAGAAAATGCCTTGGCAGACCTAGGATCTAATGTAAATGTGATGCCCTACAAGCTTTTCAAAAAGTTAGAAGTAGGTGAACTTAAGACCACTAAGCTTAGCATCACCTTAGTCGACCGTTCGGTCATTAGCTCGAGAGGTATTGTGGAGGACATGTTGGTCTGAGTGGGAAAGTTTTGCTATCCGAATGATTTCGTTATTCTCGGCATAAGTGAAGACTCAGATATGCCACTCATACTCGGTCGTCCCTTCCTGGCCACCACCAAGGCATTGATAGATGTTAATGAGGGGACCTTAATTCTGAGGGATGGTAAGGAGAGAATCAAGCTTGAAATTGACCCTAAGGCTAGGAGTGAAGAAGTGAAGGAAGTGGTTTCAAATGATGTGAATGTGAGTGGAGGAGAGCCTCTAAAGGCAAACCCCGCTATTACTTGTGTTGCTTGTGATAATGTTGGGCAGGAAGTAAAGGAGGGTTCTACGCTCAAGGAGAAGAGGAAGAATGCTTGGATGCAAAAGATGAAGGAAGCTTTGGTCCAGAGGAAGGAGAAGGCCAAAGCGAAGTTGGCCAACCAAGGGGGCCAACTCATGGAGCTTAAGATGGGAGGCTATAAGCCTCGCCCCGAGAGTGTGGTGGATCCACTCTCGGTGGCTTCACGTTCCAAGTCGTGATCGATCCCCAACCGTCAAGCTAATGACGATAAATTAGCGCTTGTTGGGAGGCAACCCAACGGATGTTTGTTTCCTTTTCCTTATTTTTGTTTTTTGTGTCAAGTTAAGAGTTCAAGTGGTCAAGTGGTGTCCCCGTGCAAAGTTTTGTGGTTTGCGATTTATGGTTGTGTTTTGATTCAGTTAGGAGGCACAGTGGAATAAGTTGAGTCAAATTTTTCTCAAAAGTGCCTTGTTTTCACTAATGTTCACGGACGGATTGCTTAGTTCACGGTCTTACAAGACCGTGAATAGGCAAATGCGTCCGTGAACTGGGCTCTTCTGCATGTTCACCACCTGTTGGCCAACCCCAGTTCACGACGCATTTGAGTGTTCACGGTCGCTAAGAGCGTGAACAAGGCAACGCGTCCGTGAACCTCGTGTTGTGCCCATAAAAGGGTCGTGAACAACGACTCTTCACTATAGTACCAAATCTCGCCGGAAAACCGCGAAATTTCGATGGTTTTTCAATTTCCCCCATTTTTGGCAACCAAAACCCAAAACCAACTTCATACCCATTCTCCCCTCATCAATACCCAAGGGAGACTCAATCGAGTTGGTTTTCCTTTAGCTTTTCAAGCAACCTAATTAGGTTAATTTAGGGCAAACCTTAATGTTGAATTAAGAAAATTGGTTAAGCATGATTAAGCCGTCCAACCCTTGAGTTGAGTGAGGGAGTAAGTCAACCACCGATTGCCTAAACCCAAAATGCCGAGTGACACGGCCTATAATGTATACTTCGGTTTAGCAATCGAGAGTGTGTTCTACGACCATATTTTCATCCCTCTGCGGTTCGCAGTTACCTTGCCCATAGCAATCGTTTCAATTCACATACCATGGTAGTAGTCAGGGGGAAGCGACACCCGAGTGATCCTTCTCACAAAGAGATTTCAAAACCATTTACCGTTGCGTTATTTTATTTTAATTAGCAAACTTTTTCAACCAAAACTTTGTTTCTAGAAAATGATTCAAATGACTGAAGTAGGGGTGCACGGACCGACCAGGGTTGATATTTAAACATACTTATCATGTAGTGCACCTGACTAAGGTTTATACTTGGACCTTGGGCGGGAATTTATTTTGGTATTCGGGACGATTCATACGACCAAACTGAGGACTCCTTGGAGGATCCTCCATACTTTGCTAACCCGATCAATCGTCCCCATCCTCCAGTCAGGCCATCTGATGAGGAACAGAGGGCTCATTTCCCTCTACTCCATGAGGAGTCTAGCAGGGCCTATCCATCTGGGATCTCTGATCGCCACTTGTTTCACCCAGTGTCTAGGGCGGAAAAGAGTGGACACTATGCACATGGGGGGCCTCATTACGAGGATAGCCAAACACTTCCATGTGGATCTGGCTCGCTGCACCAGCGCCGGGATCAGGCAATGGTATTGCATTACATATCGTCGTCCAGTCCATGACCGATCAGCTGCTGCTTTACATACAGACGTCCAGCAGTGATCCGACCATCTATCGTGTCCAGTAGTGGCCCAACCACCCGGGCGTTCAATTACCATCAAACATACATCCCATACAGCACTACGCGTGCCTTACATAGCACAACGTGTGCCGCACATACATAATCGCGCTTACTTGAAAATAACAAACATAACTTAATTAAAGGACGTAAACTAAAAGACCTCGATGGAGATTTTACCCCCTTTACACTCACCTCATTAGCCGTCCCCAATCGATCAATACGACCCCTCTTCACGGGCGGTGGATGCATGTCATCATCCAAGATTTCATGCTCAAACTTCTCGTGCCTTACCTCCTTTTGTATTTCCTCCTATTAAGTATTTAGGCAAAACTTAATACTCCTTCGCTAAGCGTGAATAGCCAAACGACCTCTAAATTGGTTGATTCCAATCCTAAATTCCTCCCTTTAACCTCTCCTAAGATTCCCCACAAAATTCTAGAAAATTACATTTTTTCCCTAAAATGGCAAATTACAGAATAGTACCCCAAATTCCTCAATCTTATCAATTCCGCCCAAAGTTTCAGAATTGGACTATTCGACCTTCCAGGGAGATTTAAATTCCTGAATTTGACAATTAAGTCCCCAATCGCATATTTCCATTTTGATACCCATCCATTTCCCAGTTATGGACTAACTCCTAGCATGGTAAATTACTTTTCAGTTCCCAGACTTTCTAAATTTTACCAAACCGTCCCAAACTCCAAAAGATATAAACGCTCCTAACTATTCATCAAATTTAACAACCCCTGCCATTCGGTTTAAAAAAAAAGGAGATCGTTTACCTTAATCACTGGGGCCACCGTTGTCATCCCCGGAAAACCAAAGTTTGAGTCCACTATCGTCACACTCCTCTGACTCCTCCTCTGCTCCTCCGGCTCCTCATCTTCTTCTTCCTCGAGCGTCGACTTGTCAACAACCGCCATCTTGAGGAGTCTCCCGCCGTCCTTGTTCCGGCCACAGTTTGGAGGCCAGCTCCGCTCTGCCCATGATAACATCGTATTTGCACATGATTGCACTCTTGTTTCCTGACCATTTTAGCTTGAATTTGTGGTTCCTTGGCCTATTTTACGCTAGGTTGTGTTGTTTTGTCATATCTAAGGTCCTAGCGAGTAAAGGGATGCATAGGCGCAAGTTTCAGGTCATTTGGAGGTCAGTTGGCGATTC